GCTTGTGGCCTCGTGCTTGGAAGTAACTCTACCACCTTCTTGTGTCTGATGGCAGTTTGGGGAAAGAATAATGAAAGTCAGTAGGAATAGTGGGGTCTATTTTGGATTTTCCAGGATGAGAATTTTGGTAAAAAAAAAAATGAATTCTAGGAAGGAGCACACGTCTGTCTGTTAGGATGTAAATGAGCTGCAGTAACCATGCTGCAGACTAACAGCTAGTGTTTCAGCAAGTTCTCTCATGCACTAGAGCATGAGAGAGAGAGAGAGAGAGAGGAGGAAGAAGAGGAGGAGGAGAGAGAGAGAGGAGGAAGAGGAGGAGGAGGAAGAGGAGAGAGAGAGAGAGGAGGAGGAGGAGGAGGAGGAGGAGAGAGAGAGAGAGAGAGAGAGAAAGAGAGAGAGAAACAGCACAGTTTGCCAGAAAGCAGCCTCAGGGTGTTAGGGATGGACGTGTTTTGTAGGTTCTGTAGAAGGGAGAAAGGGAGGAAAAGGCTGACACACTCGTTCCTTTCAAAGGTACAACATGAAAGTCTGGCCTCACACTTAAGATCCCACTAAGCGGTCAGTCACACCACCAGTGCTACAGGGGACACTGGGAAAATAGTGATTTCCTTTAGGAAGTCTGTGCCCGAGGTAAGACCGAGGGTTTCCATTACTAAAATAAAACAAATGAGGTTTGATAAGAAGACAATTAGTGGTCTAGTAAAAATTACAGGATATAGAGGGGGAAACAAGGAAAATGACAGTCCAAGGTGTCTCTAGGGCCTGGCAGAGATGCAGCAGGTCTGGAAATACTGAGGGCTTGTAACAGACATCACAAGAGTTGCTCCTTTGTCTTGTAGGAAGGTTCAAGAGCTGGTGACGCAGAGGGCACAGCAAGTACGGACATATTGAGAGGAGCAAATCAGATGTACTTAGATTAGGTCCTATATGACCTAATATGACCAAGTATGACCTGGATGGGCTGGGGATGTGGTTCAGCTGATAGATAACTTGCCTTGATGAGGTCCTGGGTTCAATTCCTGGCCCTGCACAGATCCCCAAGCATCAGAATGGGTGTGGCCTCAAACTCCTCCCCACTATTGGCTCATTCCAGGTATAGTTGCATCAATATCACCAGGATGCTTGTCAGAAACACAGTCTCAGTCCCCATCAAGCCTCGCAGAATAATCTGCCTTTTGACACATTCTGTTGTTGTTCTTGGGCCATACAGGCAGTGATGCTCCCTGGCAAACTCCTGTGGTTTGCCTGGAGATCACTTCCAACGGTACTAGGGGAACCACGTAGTGCCAGGGATTGAACCCAGGCCTCCTGCCAGCAAAGCATGTGGTCTACCCCTATGAATTATCTTCCTGACCCAATCTGGTTTTGTTTCCTTTTAAGAAGATGTTTTTAGATATCTCACTCTTTCTTTTCTTCTTTTTTGTGGTGTTAGGTATTATGTCCAGAGTCTTTTAATTGCAAGGCAAGTCCTCTGCCAGAGCTCAGTCCTTACCATACACCCTGGGTGACTAATATCATATTCAAGTCTGGGAAGCCCTGAACTAGACTATGCCGTGCGCTGTGCGAAGGGATAATCTTTCAATCTCCCCTGAAACCACATCGGTCTTTAAATCGCTTACCCAAGCCAAGGTCCATTTAGTAAGGACAGGGGTGACGGACTCTGCTCTGTCATACTGACCAGAATCCCAGGCTGATGACACCTCCAGCCTCTGACTCTCCATAGACAAGAAAGTCAGGGAAGTTCTCGTGTGGTTCTCCTGTCTCTCTCACACCGCCCGGGTCAAAACCAGCCTCCTGTCTCTCTCCAGGAAAGCGGGACAAGCAATTCATTTTCAATTCCCAGAGCAGTCCCCCAGGCCTCTAAAAGACCTACATCCAGTTCAGTGAAGATGTACAGCGATCGGATACTGGAAAAGGGTTACCAGCAGGAAAAGGAGAGCATGACTCAAACCTGACAGGGTAATTATTCTCAAAGGGCAGACAAAGAAGTTCCCCTTCTTCTGATTAGGCAAACAGAAAAGGAAAATTTGTCAAAAAAGGAAAATGTCGAAGGAATTAAGTACTGGGTGAAAACGTTGTTTGGAGCAGACACACTAAAATCAGAAATGAGAGTCTTCACACTCTGCCTCTTTCTAACCTCATTTTCTACCTCCTTATCTCTTTACCATTTTCCAACCACACAACCTTTCTGCAATACCTGTGTTCATCTTATTATCACAATTACTGTTTCTTCAAGAACACCCTCCTCAGGTCAGCCTGGGGTCTGATCTATCAGAACTGCTCAAACGTTAGCCAAGTGTCATCTCGGGCCTTCCAGGCCCTACAAATACAAGCCATCACTTTACCACAGCTCCCTATTTTGGTTAACAGCATAATACTTGGCACTGGCTAACAGATATTTTTCCTATTTGACTGTCCTCCCTGCATTAAAGTGAGCTCCATGAAAGCAAGGGCTGTCCTATACCACAAGACAACAATTAGTCCTCATTATCTCAGGAGAGTCCTTATGAATATTTTAATTTAAAAAGTATGCAGTAAGAGTGATCTAGGAACTGGAGAGATATAGCTGGTATGGCATTTGCTTTGTATGCAACTGACCTGGGCTCAATTCCCAGCATCCCACATAGTTTTCAGAGCCCACTAGGAGTGATCCCTGAGTGCAGAGCCAGGAACAAGGCCTGAGCAAGACCAGGTGTGCCTCCCCCATCCAAAACAAACACCACCACCCCCCAAAAAGCCCAACAACAAAAAGCAATCTAGATAGGACTCCAGTGGAAATACCTCTTTGGAACAGTCAAGTTCTTGGAGGTACAGATCAGTGAGATGCACTAATCCTTTAGGAATGTCACCACTGTGGGAAGAGAAGGGTAGGAGACAGGAACAAAAGGTAGAGGTGATAAGAGTGGATCCTGAAACTAGGGAAAAGGTTTCAGGAAGGTCAATAGGGACTAGATAAAGGAGGAAACATGAGGGCTTAAGACCAGAATAGAGCATCTCTAAGGTATTGGGCACTCAAGTTCTCTGAAAAATAAGTACCAGAGTGTACCTGAATGGATTCTTTGTGAGACCTAGCCATTTCTTTTATTCTTTTTTTTCTTTGGTTTCTGGGTCACACCAAGCGATGCCCTCAGGAATTACCCCCTGGTGGTGCTCCTGGGACCCTATAAGATTCTGGGGATAGAATCTGGCGGGCCAGAAACAAGGAAAACGTCCTACCGGCTTTAGTATCTCTCCAACCCCCACCTAGCCGCTTCTTAAGAGACATAAAGTTGAAGAAGGTTCAACATACTGTAGAAGGATCCGTAACCTGGTTAATGAACAGAGGTCCACCAGTTATATTCAGGGACTGCGAACTCGTGGAAAAGATAATAACGCATAAACTCTGTGATTGCCTGGGGGAGTGGGAGTTGTTCAATGACCACTGCAGAAGGAAACCTAGAGGTCAGCTTTTTTCAAAGCTGAAACCACCACCTCCCTACCACCAAAAAAAAAAGAGAGGCCCAATAAAGGGCGCAAGAAACAACGTCTTAGAGAAACAAGGAAAATCACCTTCCTGTGTGAGTAAAAGCTAAGGACAGATGGAAAAGTTCGCGATTGCATCATCGTCCCGGTGTCCGTGAACCGGGGAGGAAAGACGGAGCCCCAGAAGGCGGGGAGGCATGTGTGGACACGCTCCCACGGGAGGGAGGGAGCCGGAGCCATCCAGGTCGCAAAGGGTTCCCGAGTTCTTCCACCTGGCCCGGGTATTCCCGTGAAATGTCAGGGCCCACAAGCCGGGCTGGGGACTGCGGACATCATCGTTCTCCTAGCAGTAGGCGGCCCAGGAAAGGGCTCGGTCTTACCACAAAAGGCAATTATTACCGGGACGGGGATTCAACACTGCCAAGAGAGCAGGGACAGGCTAGAGGTCCGGACTACCCCTGCAGGCGGTCGGTGTGTTCGTGGGTGCTGTTACCAGCCCGGTCTCCCTCCACCTGCAGGACTTTCCTCTCCAATTATCCCCGCCCTGTTTTCACCTCTCCCTCTCTCTCTATCTCTCCCCCCCCCCCCCCCCCCAGCTCAGGGCCAGGCGTAGGGCTTCTGAAGGCCACAGTGTTCGTGCAACTCGGTGACTCTGCGTGCAAACCCGGTGCGCACTGCGCGCTGGGGGAGACGCGCTCCGGGCTGCGCGAGCTCTCGAGGGCAACCTTCCAGCCCCACCGGAATCTAACGGGTGCTCCCACCCCGCCCCCCCCTCGTGCCTCGGGGAGCCCCGCGGGCAGTGCCAGGGGATGCCCGCCCTGGGCTGGCTCCGCCTTCGGCCAGCCCGAGATCCCGCGGGAACAGAGCTCTCGGGCCCGGGCGGCCGCCTGCACCCCGCGCCTCCGGGGATTTGGGTCGGGCGCTCGAGCGCGGGTCCCAACGGCAGCTCAGAGCGGTTTGCCCTTGCAGGGCTGGCGCCGCTCCCCACCCCCGAACTCGATCACCGCCTGCCGCACCCGCAGCTCCACCCGTACCGGTCCCGGGTCCAAATCTGGCCTCTCTGGCCCTACGGCTTTGAGCGCTCTTGCAGCAACCAATCGGATCCCGACGTGGTGCGGGCCAATGACTGCGGCCGAAGCACCGAGAGTGGTCGAGCCTATCAAAATTCAACCCTAAGTTTCTCCCGCCCTCTAGAAAACTCGGAGGGTGGGTTGATTTTATCTCCTAGCCAATCGGTGGCCAATAAACAAGAAGCTTCCAAGATCAAAGGGGAAACGGGGTGGCATCTTAGCTTAGCATCGCCGCTGGGCGGAAGATTGGCAGGAATCCTCACCAATAGCACAGAGGCCTCGGTCCTACGTCAGCAAAAGGGCGGTGCCGATGTGGAAAATGTACCAATGGCCGACTGAGGGGCGTGTCCACGGTGCCCAAGCGGGAGCCGGAGGCCCCGGGCTCTCTGGGCCGCGCCTGAGGCGGACGCTACGGGGCCGGGGGGCGGCGGCGGCGGCGGCGGCAGCGGCGGCGGGGGTGTGCGCCGCAGCTGGCCCGGGTGGATGGAGTTGGAGGGGCGGGGTGCTGGCGGTGTGGCGGGAGGGCCGACGGCTGGGCCGGGGCGGAGCCCCGGGGAGTCGGCGCTGCTGGACGGGTGGCTGCAGCGGGGCGTGGGCCGGGGGGCCGGCGGCGGGGAGTCCGGGGCCTGCAGGCCCCCGGTGCGGCAAGATCCGGACTCCGGCCCGGACTACGAAGCGCTGCCGGCGGGAGCCACTGTCACCACGCACATGGTGGCGGGCGCCGTGGCTGGGATCCTGGAGCACTGCGTGATGTATCCCATCGACTGCGTCAAGGTGAGCCCCGGACCCAGTTTCCAACCTTTCCTGGGGCAGAGCCCACTCCTGGGGGTTCTGTGCAGAGCCCGGATCCCGGCGGGTACCCCTGCTTGGCCCCTTCCTGGTTGCCTGCAGCTCCCGGCACGGTCGGCTGATGCACCGTGCAAGCCGGGTCCCGACTGGGACTCGATCGCGCTCAGGCTGCAGGACCCACTTCCTCGGTGAGATCGTGACTGTGTCACGGTGGAAATGTGCCCGCCAAACCCCACACCCCGGGAGGGAGGTGAGGGGCGCAGGTCAGTGCTACCTTCTGCACAGGGGACGTGCCTGAGACTCAAGACTGCGCACCTTCAGCGGGGGTCCGAGATGTGTGGTCCGGGCGAGCGCGTGGACCAGCTAGCTTCCTTGCCGGGTCCTCCCTTAGAGGGGACGGAGCAGGGACGGGCATCCTTAAAGGACTCTCTGGTTAAAGCCGAGCCGGGAGGACTCGGAGGTCCTGGGTCCCGGAGCAGGTTTCGGTTTCCCTGTGCTTGGAGACTGAGACCCCACCTATTTCCTGAGCTGTGAACGGGGAGCCGGGAAGGAGCGGGGGAAAGAAGGGCAGCGTGGTGGGTGAGACTGGAGAGCCGGTAGAAGCGTGCAGAAGATGCAGAGTGATGGCAGGCAGGCGCGATTCCCCTGACGGTAAGGATAACTTGCCATCCACGCCGACGAGCGGGGACCGGAAGTCAGGTGCTTCCAAGTGCTGACACTCCTGCCTGAGCGCGGGGACCAACCAGCCGCCGGTGGACTCCTGGGGACTGTTGGAAGAGATGATGGCAGAGACCCGCATCTCCTTGCTGTGGGAAGGAGAGCTGTCGAACGGTCTTTGGTGTTAGGTTTTCTCCCCACGATTTTAACTGATTCCAGAGAAGATAGCAGGTGGAGAGTGCAGCCCGTCTGTTCCTGCGTCTAGTGCCTTTGCGTGGTTTTGTTAGGAACGGTGGAGGAGCAAAGGAAGAGAGTGCTCGTTAAGCGTTGTGAAGGACATGGAGTTGGTAGGTGTAGGTGGATTTTGAAGTACTGCAAGATGACCGCCACCAAGGACAGTCAGTGCCCACCGAAACTAGCACATGCGCCTGGCTAAGGTAGATGCAATTCTAAGTACCCTTGTCAAGTGGGGAGAAGAGAAGGTAACAGTAAGATCCTTGGGGAGGGGGGTGGAGAAGGTGATTAATGCTCTGATAGTATTGGGATAGCAAAACGAATCAGTACATCCAGATGTTTATGTAATAGGGGCTAGGTGGAATGTCTGGCAAACGTTCATATCTTAGTGCAGTGCAGAGTAACCTCACTCTGCTTAAGGCTGTGAGTACAGATTTCAGGCAGTTTGTTTCAGGAAGGGTGTCAACTGAAAACCAAATAAAGCAGAGCAACAGAAGTTAATGGTGTAAAAAAAAATGCAAGAAATAGTACTATCAGATAGTAATTTAAGTGTATTTTCTTATACCATATAGTAATTTTGGGGCTATTTCCTCACACCATATAGTTGCGTAATGTTGTTGCTTTCAACATTTTTTTTATAAATTCTTTTATGAGAAATGCCTCTAGAATATTTGGGTGCACACCCTTAAACGTGGCAAATCTGGGCTGGAGAGATCATACAGCCTGTACGACACTTGCCTTGCACGTGCAGCTGACCTGGGTTTGATCCCAGCATCCCATATTGTCCCCCCTAGCCTGCTAGGAATGATTCCTGAGTACAGAGCCAGGATTAAATCCTGGCACAGCTGGGTATAGTCCCCAAACAATAACAACTAAAAGGGAAATTTTGGGGGCTGGAGGAATAGTACTTGCCTTGTGCTTGGCTGACCCAGGTTTGATCCCCAGCATCCCCATATAGTCCCTTGAGTCCCACCAGGAGTGACCCCTGAGTGCAGAGCCAGGAATGAGCCCCGAGTACCAGAGCGTGACCCAGAACCAAAAACAAGTAGTGAATCTTTGTCCTCCGACAAGGTGGAGTTGATTTAGTAATAACATCATTCAGAATCAAATAAGATGGGAAAGGTGGGAAATCAAAATGAGTAATGCTGATTGGTAACACTGATTTAATTATCCCAAAGATAAGAAGGGGCCAGGATGCAGGCCGCTGATTTGACTTCCTCCAGGCTGAGAATCCGATCCAGGGAATACCCGTGAAAGAGGAGTTCCAGAACTGTTTTATGGGTGACCCCAGTGTGACTGGGATAAGCCACATCTAGCCTTCGAAGGCAAGCGTTTTAAAGATCAGCTCTTACTAATTTATATAAACATTGGGACTTTAGTGTTTTTTTTTTAATAAGTTAGTCATATGATCTTGAGGTCACGCCTCCAAGCCTCACATTAAAGAACTAGTTATTTGATCTGGAGGAAAAATACTCCGGCATCTTCAGACACACAGAAACCTATCTCAGCAGAATCCTTTCCATTTGCCATTAATGCTGGTATTTAAATGACCAAAAGAAAGAGCTTGGTGAGACTGACAGAGAGTGGAAGCAGGCCATACACTTCTGTGCTGATCAGAAAGTAAAATTCAAGCCTCTTTCTTTATCATTATTATTATTATTATTGCTTTTTGGGTCACACCTGGTGATGCACAGGGGTTATTCCTGGCTCTGCACTCAGGAGTTACTCCTGCCAGTGCTCAGGGACCATATGGGATGCTGGGAATTGAACCCAGGTCAGCCGCGTGCAAGGTAACCACCCTACCCGCTGTGCTACTGCTCCAGCCCCACAAGCTTCTTCCTTTAGAAAGTGCTTCCTTGCCCCCTTATTGCGGGGCAGGAGGTGGGGAACTAGAGCAACCCACTTGTACCCGAAGTCTGGGGACTGGCTGGAGCCTAAAAGAGCAACCACAATGTTTGCTTCTCTTCATGCAGGCTTGGGTGTGCCCCCCCACACACTCCCTCCCCTCCTCCCTCCTACCCCAGCTTTAAGTTGATGCAAAATATCCTTGAGCGGGTCCATGGGCTGTCAGCATAGCCTTGTCAGGACACAGTTAATCAGCCGGCTTTTTCATGGTCATAATAAGGGACCTTGGAACCCAAATCAACGCACTTTTTCCTCTCCTGGGCACCAGTCTGCCCGTTAAGGGTCAGGTTCTGGCAGCCAGAATTTAAGAGCTTGGGACTATTTTGTTGTTGTTGTTGTTTTTGCTTTTTGGGTCACACCCAGCGATGCACAGGAGTTACTCCTGGTTCTGCACTCAGGAATTACTCCTGGCAGTGCTCGGGGGACCATATGGAATGCTGGGGATCGAACCCAGGTTGGCTGCATGCAAGGCAAACGCCCTACCCATTGTGCTAGCACTCCAGCCCGAGACTATTTCTTACTGGCACTTCCGGGTCTCCACTGGTTGGCTCTCGTGGCGAAGCCGCATCGCCCTAATCTCAGACATTAAGAGCAAGGGGCAGTGAGTCCTCTCTAAACTCCAGGTGTATGTGGTTGTCTGGGGTCATTCATTCATCGGTGGACGATTAGGAAGTTGAAATAGTGGGCGGTCGCCTGTACTAAGTATTCAGTCCACGGTCATTGTTTCCCAGCACTGGGCTTCCATTCACGCACTGCTCGAACAGCTGTGCCGAGTGCCATCTCATTTTTTTTGTGAGCAGTGCAGATGAGGAAAGGGGGAACATGCTCTTTTAGGTTTATTGGAGTTGATTTTTTTTTTTCTAGTAACTGACACAATTCACACTCAAATGCAGTTTCAGGAAGTGGTGCCTTGTTCACTATTTTACAATTGAAGAAAAGGAGGCAAGTAAGTAACTTGCCCAAGGTCATAGAGTTTAAGTGGTAGAGTCATGGTTTACTTAGGTGGGCTTGGCTACACCTGACAGTGCTGTGGACCAGACCAGTGTTGTAGGCAGGACTTACCCCAGGGTCAAGTCTCTGGTTTCCAAGCCTTCTGCACAGTCTCCCAGAAGCAGTTTTTCAAGAGCCACGCAAGACGCAGTTTTCGCAAGGGTGCTTGTCTTTCATCATGACCTTCACAGGAATAGCTGGACATACAGATTGCTATAGCCACAGAGAACCTTGACGTGAAAACAAAAAGTATCCATTAGCGGTCCCCTGACTCATCCAACACTGCCGTGCTCTATAAATGCTAAGACATAAACGAATATTTCTGAGAATCATATTCGAATACAATAAAAATCCTTATTTCCAGCATCTCATAAAGTACCGGGCTTTTATATGCGTTGACTCTTTGAACAGCGAACTGCTCAGCCCTGGGAGCCACACCCGGCTGTGCTCAGGGCTTCCTGCCGGCTCTACATTCAGGATCACTTAGGGCACTGTATGCAGTGCCAGGGATCAAACCTAGACTGGCTGTATGCAGGGCAGCCGTCTTACCTGCGGTACGAGCTCTGCAGGTCTGATCCAGCCCTCTTTACTCTGTAGCGAGGTGACAGCATTGACGCCCAGGAATGGAAATGACATACCCAAGACTTTACAGAGAGTAAATGTTGCTTCTTCTCCTTTTTTTTTTTTTTATTGAAGGTTACTCAAATACTTAAGAGTTTATCTTTCTCTGAAAGCCACTCACCCATTAAATTTAGGGAGCTATTCAGTGTGTGTGTGTGTGTGTGTGTGTGTGTGTGTGTGTGTGTTGCACATACCCGCTCGCCCACCTGTTCCCAGCTCTGCTCAGGAACACCTGACAGTGCTCAGGTGAGCGGGTTGGTGGGTTGTAAGGCAAGTACCTTAACCTCTGTACTAGCTCTCTGTCCCCAACCCATTTATTTTTATACTTGGCATACTTTGCCCCAGCCCTTGCCAGAAGGGTGTGTTTTCCTTGAGTTGGATTTAGATGTGTGAAAAATATTCAGGGGCTCAGTGGTTTAAAGTGCTTACACAGCCAGTTTGGTACTGCAAGTTCAAACCCCAGCACTCCCCGCAGAGGCTGAGGCTGGGTGATCCTGACAGCTGTTCTACCAGGGCATGATGACCCGGTGACTTGGACAACATGAGGCTGTGAGCTTCCTCACCAGTGTAGCTGTTTGCCCTGGGTCATCCTGGGAGCCCTGTCTGGGAGCCCCCCAAGGGAAGAAAAGGAAAAAATGTTTACAATCCAGGTTTCCAGTGTGGGAAAGGATTCCAGAATTCTGGAAATGGATCGCTTTTTATTTTCTTGTTTTGGGCTGTGCTCAGGGGACCACATGTGATGCTAGGGATTGAACCCGGGTCAGTTGCGTGCAAGGCAAGCACCCTACCTGAAGGTACTATTGCTCTGGCCACTGAAAACAGACCTTTTTGAAAGATATTTGGTTGCCCAGATACTGTCATTCACTCTGGCAGAACCATATACTTGGGGTGGGGGGGGGGTATGGAGAGGAGCAGTATCTGGTTCACACCAGCAATGCCCAGGAATTCTTCCTGAGTCTGCGCCTGCGTCACTCCCGAGGGGACCATGTGCAGTGCTGGGAATCGGTCCAGGGCAGGCCACATGCAAGACAAGCCCCTGTTCTCTTTCTCTGGCCCCAGAAGACTATTTTCTCTTTACAAGACCAGTTTTAACTTTTGTTTTGTTTTGGGGGCCACACTCAGTGGTGCTTAGGGGATACTTCTAACTGGGTGCTCAGGGGCCAGTCGAGCAGTTTGGAGGGGCTGTGTGGTGGCAGGTCTCAAGCCCCAGGCCTCCATGCAGAGTTCAGTATTCTGCCACGGAGCCACATTCCTGCCCCAACAAGACCGGTTTCAAACATGAAAAAAACAGAGTTGTTGAGCCATCAGATCCTATTTGTTTGTATTAATAACCATATGCAGTAAAATCTCTGAGTAACTCCTCCGATGGGTTTTATAGCCCCTGAGGAGATATAAACACTAGATTGAAATTCACAAATAAGGTTCATCTTCCAAATTTCATTCAGCTTTGCCCTGGGATATCACACGAATCATAGGCTTTTTATTCCAGTCACTGAGTCCTTGAGATTCCAAAGATTTAAGTTTCACTGATACTGATTTTATTTACAGATGCATTTTGGAATCTGATCAGTATAGCAAAGAAATCTAGAAGCCCCTTAATCTTAGATACTAGATTGGTTTCCACCTTCCTACTTTCAGGTAAACTAACTTTCTCCTAAACTTGGAGTAGCGTCTAATAGGAATGCTGCTTTGGCCAAGACTTAACAATTTAGACATCCAGCCGCCATGATAGTCTGAAAAATTCAGGTTATGACTTCTCATAACTCACCCCCACGGCAAAGCATGGCAAGCGACCTGTGATGTATTTGATATGCCAAACACAGTAACAGAAGTCTCACGATGGAGACGTTACTGGGCCCACTCGAGCAAATCGATGAACAACGGGAGAACAGTGCTATAGGACAGTGCTATAGTGCCTAAAGTATGTTGTGAAAAGGAAGTCTTTGACTTTAGAATATGTTTTGTAAAGTATTCTGAGTTTTAGGCGTGAAACAACTTCTAAAACACACACTTGATATTCGTTGATGGGGCTCAGTTATCATTTTGGACCAGGACCCTGAGGACGCCTAACATTCCTGGAAAACACCGTTACATCTTAGAGTTATAGCTGGTTCAAGAAAAAAAAAAAAATAATAATAATAATAAAAAAACAAGACTTGGTACTTGGAAAAACAGAATGTGAGCTGGGGAGGAAGCCAGGCCGGATTCCAGTGCCCAGACCCGCACACTGCCACGGTCCCCTGCGGAAATGTCTGCCCAAGGCCCAAAGCCCGGGTGCCAAGATTGGGCAAGAAGCTCCCGCCACTGACCTTGCGCTTTCTTCCCCTGTCGTTTTAGACCCGGATGCAGAGCCTCCAGCCTGACCCGGCAGCTCGGTACCGCAACGTGCTGGAGGCCCTCTGGAGGATTATACGAACCGAGGGCCTGTGGAGGCCCATGCGGGGGCTGAACGTCACCGCCACGGGGGCTGGGCCGGCCCATGCCCTCTATTTTGCCTGCTACGAAAAGTTAAAAAAGACACTGAGTGATAGAATCCATCCTGGGGGCAACAGCCATGTTGCCAATGGTATTGAGCCTTCCTGGTGCCCCCCCACCCCCAACTTCCCCAACTCTGGGCTTTGCTGCTGTCAATTGCTTTCCGGTCTCAGGACTGGGGGGTGGCCGGATTGTAGGGGAGGGACTTCTAGACCCGATGTGCTCACACCTGCTTCCACCCCTCCTGTCTCTTGGGGCACCTCGACAGTAGGTTATGATTCCTCCCTTCCTTACCAGCTCGACTGACTCATCTTCTCCCTGACAGCATCTGCCAACACCCCGGGGAATGTGGAGCCATAGTCTAAACTCTCCCCCGCACCCCTTCCCCCTCCTCCCCCCCACCCTACCAGTGACAGCCAGGCAGTGTCCTGCTTACCGGTACAGGATTGGTGGTGGCCCCGCTGGCCCGAGGAGGACACTCACAGAGCCCCAGATCTCCGCTTCACCTTTTCGGGATCCCTGAGGCCCAGGGGCAGGCAGCTCATGTGGTCGAGGGCAGGACAGGGCCTCAGCGAGAGGTCAAGGCCCCGGGACTTCCGGTCAGGGCAACCAGAGAGATGGGGGTGGTTGTGGAAGGAAGGGAGGAAGGGAAGGGAGGGCAGAACTGGGGTGAGGAGCAGATTGTGGGGGTGGGGTGGGGGGAAGAGGGTGTTTCTGAATCTGCAGGAAAGCTCGAGAACAAAGGCTCCCCAAACCCATCTGGCCTGAAGCCCATGTTCCAGGAAAGAAAAAAATCAGCGCCTCCCCCTGGAGATCTTATTTAGTCAGTTAGTTTTGGGGTCACACCTGGCAGTACTCAGGACTTACTCCTGGCGATGCCTAATCAGGGGATCGTATGGTAGGCCCGGGGTCTAACTCGGGCCGGCCATCTGTGAGGCAAGCCCTCTGCTGCAAGGCACCCTCTGCTGTCCCTCCAACCCCAACCTGTCTTCTTTAAACAGGCAAACAGGAAGTGTCCCCCATGCCCCCCTCCCCTGTATCCAAAGCAGCTACCACCCCCTGGACCCTTCCTGGCCACGTGGACTCTTCCTGGCCCCTGGGAGCAGGGCTGGGTTTCATCGGGCTTCTCTCTGGAGGGGCACTCAGCACTCCCTCCCGTGGCGGCTACAGCGACTCGGCCGCCCTCGCGTGGCCTTACATGTGGCAGTTGTTTTTCCTCCGCAGGTGCAGCCGGCTGTGTGGCCACGTTGCTCCATGATGCAGCCATGAATCCAGCAGAAGGTAACGATTCCTCCGCCTTACCCTCTGCAGGCTGCTCCGTGTCCGGGTTTTCCCTCCCAGTTCTGGCCTGCTGGGAGGAAGCCGGCCGGCCCCTCTAACCAGGGCCTTGGGCAGCGCTGCCAGGCTGACCACTAGAGGGTGCTCCCTCCCTCCGCGACGGGATTTTTGGAGGCGCCCCTTGGGGAGCCTGGCTGAGCTCTGACTCACCACTTGCTTGCTCCCTGGACCGGCTTTGAAATCCCCTGCCAGGCAGCTCGACTTTCATCCGAAAGCGTAGCAGTAGTTGCTTTCGCTTTTCTTCTAAGAAGGGAAGATGGATTTTGACATTGAAAAAAAAATGGGGCCTGGGTCTAGGGAGATGGCTTCGTGGTCTGGAGCCCGTGCTGTGCTCGCAGGAGCCTCCCCAGGTTTGATCCCTGCCACCACATGTTTCCCCTGAGCACTAGGTCCAGAGTAACCAGGAAGCATGGCTGGGTGCGGGCCACTCCCTGCGGTGGCCTGAGATCAGCATAAAAGGAGACACTGTAGGGCCCAGTCCCTGCGCTGCGCTTAGAACGTGGCTTTCGGGAGGAGAGAAGGACCCCTGAAGGGGGAAACATTGTTGCCGTATGACTCGCAGGGGCCCCACTTTTTGCCAGGCAGGGCCTGGAAAGGGACAGCAAAACTGCAGCTGATACCCTGCAGCCAGGCTTGTACTTGGGAGATAGAGATGCTTGGAAACTAAGCACAGCGTTCTCGCACTCGGGTACCACACTGCATCCTGTATCCCTGGGACAGGATGAGGTTGGTCTGGGAGGGCTACGGGCTCATTCCTCTGCCACCAAGGCCACCAAGTAATCTCTTGTCTTGGGAGGTGGGAGAGGACCAGAGAATAACAATAGATCAGCACGTATTTCTTTTTTTGCTTTTTTGGGTCACACCTGGCAATGCACAGGAGTTACTCCTGGCGGTGCTCAGGGGACCATATGGGATGCTGGGAATCAAACCCGGGTCGGCCACGTGCAAGGCAAACGCCCTACCCACTGTGCCCCCAATCAGCACATATTTCAAGGAAAGTAGAGTGCCTACCAACGTAGACACGACTGGTGTAACTAGGACTAGATTTCAAGAAATCCTACCTTCTCGGAAGTAGATCCGTTGTTCCTTTGGGGGCTGCATTCAACAGCGCTGAGGGATTCTCCGGCCTCTGTGCTCAGGATTAAGCTCCAGATGCCACTGGGGGAACTTCTGATGCCAGGGCTGGAACCCAGGCGTTCCCTGTGCAAAGCACGTGCTCGGCCCATTGAGCTCTCTCTGGCACAAGCCTATAATTTTTTTTTTTTAATTACCGGGGGCTGCAGCGCTAGTACAGCAGGCAAGGTCCTTTTTTGCCTTGCTTGTAGCCGGCTCGGGTTTGATCCCCAGCAACCTGAGCATCACCAGGTACGGCCCCAAAGCCAAAAAAAAAAAAATTAAATTTCATTACCAACCTGTTCTGCTCTATCCACTCCTCAAAAAAGCCAGCCCCAACCTTAGCAGGGGCTGTTCACAACCTTAACCGAGAGCTCACATCCTTTCTCCCTCTCTGTCCCCCATTCCCTTGACTGGCCTGCTTGAACCCGGACACTTCCCTTCGGTGACTGTCGCCGTCTCCTCCTTCCTGGTCGACGGCGTGGATGACCAGTGGTCAAGCAGAGGATGCAAATGTACAACTCCCCCTACCATCGGGTGAAGGACTGTGTGCGGGCCGTGTGGCAGAACGAAGGGGCCGGCGCCTTTTACCGCAGCTACACCACGCAGCTGACCATGAACGTGCCCTTCCAAGCCATCCACTTCATGACTTACGAGTTCCTGCAGGAGCACTTTAACCCCCAGAGACGGTACAACCCCAGCTCCCACGTGCTCTCGGGAGCCTGCGCCGGCGCCGTGGCCGCCGCCGCCACCACCCCGCTGGACGTTTGCAAAACCTTGCTCAACACGCAGGAATCCCTGGCGTGGAACTCCAACATCACAGGCATGGCGAGTGCCTTCAGGACGGTGTACCAAGTGGGCGGGCTCACCGCCTACTTCCGAGGGGTTCAGGCGAGAGTCATTTACCAGATCCCCTCCACGGCCATCGCGTGGTCCGTGTATGAGTTCTTCAAGTACATCATCACCAAACGGCAGGAAGAGTGGAGAGCCGGCAAGTGAGGGGGTGCCGATGAAGCCAGGGGGGCTCGGACACCAGGCTGCAGCCCGCTCACTCCAGCCACCTGCTCTGTCTCCCGGCATGCTCCATCCTCAAGTGGAGCTGGAAGGAAGGTGGGGGGCTCCCACCACCACCACCCCGGGCCGCTGGCGCTTTGGCGAGCGCCAGTTCCTGCCGACCTTTCCTTCCAGGCCCCATGAAGGCACCTTCGACCACCCCTCCATCCCGGGCCTGGTGATCTGCTTTAGACTGTTCGAGAGGAATAAGCAGCTCATTCCCCTGGTTCCTAATAAAAAAGCCTTTACATGAAAAGGTTTCGTTGGGTTTGTCTTGCCACAGGGGCAGTGAAACACTGTCAACTATTCTTGGCACTCAGGGGCCCACGGGGAAGGTTTGCTGAGAATGCCTGTGGATTTTTGTGTCTGCAGATGTTCATGATGATTGAAGACTTGGCCTTGCCCCCCTGGCTTCAGCAATAGGCTCCAAGGACCCTCCTGGATGGCAGGAACAAGAGGCCTTTGACAGGCCCTCCCGAGGCTGGTACTCTTTTTTTTTTTTTTTTTTAAATTGAATCACCATGAGATAAAGTTACAGTCTTTCATGTTTGAGTTTCACTCATACAATGATCAAACACCCATCTCTCCACCAGTGCACATTCCCCACCATCAATGTCCCCAGTATAGCCCCCCTTTCCACCCCTTCCCCTGCCTCCATGGCAGTCAATTTCCCCCACATTCTCTCTCTACTTTGGGGCATTATGGATTGCAATACAGATACTGAGAGGCTATCACATTTGGTCCTTTATCTACTTTCAGCACACATCTCCCATCCCGAATGATTCCTCCAACCATCATTGACTTAGTGATCCCTTCTCTATTCCAGCTGCCTTCTCTCCAAGCTCATGAGGCAGGCTTCCAACTATGAAGCAGTATTCCTGGCCTTTGTGACTACGGCCGTTGGGTGTCAGTCTCATATTTATGTTAATTTATATTTCACAAATGAGTGCAGTCCTTCTGTGTCTGTCCCTCTCTTTCTGACCCATTTCACTTAGAGGATGGTACTCTGATCCCCACTCTCGCCCCTCTTCTCAGGCAGTGGGTGGTCATAAGATCTCTCCTTTCGCTCTCAGCTCTGCCTGCAGGAGGCGCTGTGCTCCCTCCTGCAGCTGCAGAACAAATTATCCAGGGAAGCTGCAAGCCACGAAGATTACAGGAGGTCAATAACATTCATTGGGTTTTTAACATAATATTTTTCATTCGATGTTAAGGGTTTTATGAAGTCCTTTATTAGGCTGGTAGATTTTAATTTAAGCATATCATAAATATACCCAATCAGTAATCTCACTACCCTGACTAAAAAGTTTCTCTCTTTGATTTTTTTTTTTTAAATAAGCAATCACTGTATCACAAACTCATTTGGAATATAATGACACAGGTTTCAAGTAAAACAAGGAAAAGTACTTGGTCTCGCTTGGTTCCCACAGGACCTTGCTTGAGGCAGACAGTGCAGGTGTCACCCCTCTTGGAAAAACAAGGACAGCTCAGGAGAGCCGAAGTAGCTGGGCTCTCGGGGTCTCACAGCCTGTGTAAAACTGAGACCCCAGCTGAGAGCTTTTGGGTATTTTTTGTTTATTTTGGGGAAGGGTCACAACCAGCAATGCTTAGGGGTCTCTCCTGACTGTGCTCAGGTGCCCATCGAGAATGCTGGGGATGGGAACCTGGATCAGGTGTATACAAGGCAATATATGCCTTTTTTTTTTAAATTGATTTACCGTGAGAGCATTACAAGGCTGTTCAGGATTGGGTTTCAGTCATACAAGGTCCTAACACCCATCATTCCACCAGTATAATTTCCAGCATGTGTCCCCTGTTTCCTTCCACCCCCGCCTGCCTCTATGGCAAGCACCTCTCCTCTCCCTCTCTCATTTCAGGCATTATGGTTTGCGATACAGATGCAGAAAGGTCATCATGTACATCCCTTTACCTACTTTCTTTTTTTATTTATTTATTTATTTATTTATTTATTTATTGAATCACTGTGGGAAAGGTTACAAAGCTTTCAGGTTTATGTCTCAGTAATGCAAATATCAAACACATTTCCCTTTACCAATACTTATTTTTTACCATGAAGAACCCCAATAAAACCCCACCCCCCACCCCTCCCCGTCCCTGTGAGGCAGATGAATTCTAGTTAACACTCTATCTGCTTTGATTAGATTCATTGTTTCAATAAAAGATTCACCACTATTATTTAGAGTTTACCCCCCCCCCCCCAAATCAGACATGCTGAAAAAGCATTGTGAAGTGATTTGCTTTCTACAGCTGGGTTAAAGAATTAAATGTTGGTTTTGGATTTCTGCTATTTTACCTATTGACCCTGGAAGTATTTCTACTGAAAGTCAGATAGTTAAGAAACTGGTTTCTGTGTTCTGGAGTCGTGGCCGTGCTGGAGAGCCGCTCGCAGGGGGCAACCGGTGGCCTCGGTAGGGCGTGAAGGGCGGAGCGAAACGCCCCCCTTCCCATGAGGTTTTAGTCGCCCCCACACTCCCGGCTCATACCTGCTGTCCACAAGGCACCCATGTGGCCGCCATCTTTCTTTCCAGAGAGGAGAGGGCGAATGGGGCAACACCCTTTCCCCTCCGGCAGACTTGATGGGCTGGATCAACGCATAGTCCGTTCACTTTTCTGCTCCAAGCTGCTGGGTTCTGCATTAAGTCCTTGTGCTTCTGGGGCCATGGCCGTGCTGGAGAGCCGCTCGCGGGGGGCGACTTGTGGCCTCGGTAGGGCGTGAAGGACGGACCAGAACGCCCCCCGACCCATGAGGTTTTAGTTACCCCCACTCCCCCGGCTCATACCTGCTGTCCACAAGGCTCCCATGTGGCCGCCATCTTTCTTTCCAGAGAGGAGAGGGCGAATGGGGCAACACCCTTTCCCCTCCGGCAGACTTGATGGCCTGGGTCAACGCATAGTCCGTTCACTTTTCTGCTCCAAGCTGCTGGGTTCTGCATTAAGTCCTTGTGCTTCTGGGGCCGTGGCTGTGCTGGAGAGCCGCTCGTGGGGGGCAACTGGTGACCTCGGTAGGGCGTGAAGGCCGGACCGGAACGCCCCCTTCCCATGAGGTTTTAGTCGCCCCCACACTCCCGGCTCATACCTGCTGTCCACAAGGCTCCCATGTGGCCGCCATCTTTCTTTCCAGAGAGGAGAGGGCGAATGGGGCAACACCCTTTCCCCTCCGGCAGACTTGATGGCCTGGGTCAACGCATAGTCCATTCACTTTTCTGCTCCAAGCTGCTGGGTTCTGCATTAAGTCCTTGTGCTTCTGGGGCTGTGGCTGTGCTGGAGAGCCGCTCGTGGGGGGTGACTGGTGACCTCGGTAGGGCGTGAAGGCCGGACCGGAACGCCCCCCTTCCCATGAGGTTTTAGTCGCCCCCACACCCCCGGCTCATACCTGCTGTCCACAAGGCTCCCATGTGGCCGCCATCTTTCTTTCCAGAGGGCGGAGGGCGGAAGGGAGCAACACCCTTTCCCCTCTGGGCAGAAATGATTGCCTGGATTAACGCATAGTCCTTTCACTTTTCTGCTCCAAGCTGCTGGGTTCTGCATTAAGCCCTTGTGCTTCTGGGGCTGTGGCCGTGCTGGAGAGCCGCTCGTGGGGGGCAACTGGTGACCTCGGTAGGGCGTGAAGGACGGACCAGAACGCCCCCCTTCCCATGAGGTTTTAGTCGCCCCCACACTCCCGGCTCATACCTGCTGTCCACAAGGCTCCCATGTGGCCGCCATCTTTCTTTCCAGAGAGGAGAGGGCGAATGGGGCAACACCCTTTCCCCTCCGGCAGACTTGATGGCCTGGGTCAACGCATAGTCCGTTCACTTTTCTGCTCCAAGCTGCTGGGTTCTGCATTAAGTCCTTGTGCTTCTGGGGCCATGGCTGTGCTGGAGAGCCGCTTGTGGGGGGTGACTGGTGACCTCGGTAGGGCGTGAAGGACGGACCGGAACGCCCCCCTTCCCATGAGGTTTTAGTCGCCCCCACATCCCCGGCTCATACCTGCTGTCCGCAAGGCTCCCATGTGGCCGCCATCTTTCTTTCCAGAGGGAGGAGGGCGGAAGGGAGCAACACCCTTTCCCCTCTGGGCAGACTTGATGGCCTGGATTAACGCATAGTCCTTTCACTTTTCTGCTCCAAGCTGCTGGGTTCTGCATTAAGCCCTTGTGCTTCTGGGGCTGTGGCCGTGCTGGAGAGCCGCTTGTGGGGGGCAGCTGGTGACCTCGGTAGGGCGTGAAGGACGGACCGGAACGCCCCCCTTCCCATGAGGTTTTAGTCGCCCCCACACCCCCGGCTCATACCTGCTGTCCACAAGGCTCCCATGTGGCCGCCATCCTTCTTTCCAGAGAAGAGAGGGCGAATGGGGCAACACCCTTTCCCCTCCGGCAGACTTGATGGCCTGGATTAACGCATAGTCCTTTCACTTTTCTGCTCTAAGCTGCTGGGTTCTGCATTAAGTCCTTGTGTTTCTGGGGCTGTGGCCGTGCTCCAAACTTAACTCTGACTTTCAGGGAGAAAGATTGGGTGGTTTACTTCTTATTGATCACTTTGTATATAGATGTTGCGCGGCCGCTTATGCGGCCGCGTGGTTTTGAGAAAAAGTCCTCGTTCCCGCATACTCGAGCTGTGTTTGTAGAGGCTTCTGGTCACCGGGGTTCCATCTGGGGAAGGTGGGATGCGGCACCTACTCCATCTGGAACTTGCGGGTGATCTTTTTGGAACCTGTTTTTTCTTTTTTTTTTTTCCTCCGGGATCCCGCACCCTCCATGTGTTTTTTCTCTTATGCTGAACGCTTCAAAGATGGCGCTGGGGGGCGGGCTGTGGGCATGACTTCCGGAATCAGAGGTTACCTGGGAGGTGTAGTTCGGCAGATTTGAGAAAAAGTCCTCATTCCCGCATACTCGAGCTGTGTTTGTAGAGGCTTCTGGTCACCGGGGTTCCATCTGGGGGAGGTGGGATGCGGCACCTACTCCATCTGGAACTTGCGGGTGATCTTTTTGGAACCTGTTTTTTCTTTTTTTTTTTCCTCCGGGATCCCGCACCCTCCATGTGTTTTTTCTCTTATGCTGAACGCTTCAAAGATCTTACCTACTTTCAACGCTCAGTTCTTGTCTAGAGTGATGATTCTCAACTAATGTTGTCATAATGGACCCTCCTCTATGTTAACTACCCTCTACCGCCAACACCCTTGGGGTAATTTCCAACCATTGACCAGTTCTCCTGGCCCACTTTCCCTGGCCTTGGACATTACCTTCTTACCAGCAA